TAGGACTTACCTCATCAAGTTGTTGACTGTCCGTACAATGAGTCACTATGTCAAGCACGAATCTCATCACATACAAAGCACAATCTAGTCCATTTTCTTGTTGTGCGCATATGACGAACAAATCACATCAGTGAAACATGCAAAGGAAATTAGCAAATATTTACTAACATAGATTTTGAAGATTATCACAATATCATGTAAATTACCAACGGTGACTTCCATGTTGGACCCTAAGGAGCACGACAATGTAGCTTCTTCATAACACTGTAGTACATAAAGTACATTCAAATTTGATTAGTCGTTTGACTACTAATTTAGTTACTATTAGCAATAATCATCACTAGGCAGCTGTATATATATATATATATATATATATATATATATATATATATATATATATATATATATATATATACTTTTGTAATATAGACTTCACTAGCCACTTCTCCGATGATCAAGCTGAATCAAGCTGATAAATTGTGTTATTGGCTTTACAAATAACCATGAGGCTCCAATGTTCCCTTCATAAGTTCACAATAAATAAGAAAATTAATATTTAGGAGTCAACATATAATGAGGCCAAATCGATTAAATTTGACATGGTTAGACTTACTCTCTATAACATAGGGCCAATATGAACTTGTCTCTCGTGCGCTGATTCCCTGATACTCTGTTCAACATAGTACAACACGTCACGAGGGTTACCTATGATTCTAGTAGTGCATAACTTCTCGGGGCATAACCACACAACTTTAGAAGGAGAATATGTTTCAGTTAAGTGCTAATAATTAATTAATCACATGAAGGATAATCACCATAAATTTGAATAACTTGAAAAAAGTGTAGATTATGTGGGCATTGAAGTACCTCATGAATGTTTAAATGAGGGAAATGTTAAGCTTTGACCACGTAGAAATTCCTTTACATCTTCTTTGTTGATCCATGCAACTGCATCCTCATCATAGTGGAACATTGCCTTAGGAAGTGCAACTTCCATGGGATCGACCAAATGACAAGCACGGTTGCGAAGAAAGGTCATGTAAGTAGAGAACGATTGAAGAACAATATCTTCAACAAGTGGATTAGGTTGCATGGGTAAAAGGCGTGATCAAGTAATAACAATAAATATCAAGCAACATAATAATAATCATAACAATAATAATTATAATTGAAATAACAATCATAATAATTAAAATAATCATGTTAAAGCATAATAATAGCAAGATCCTAGGCATGATACTAACAAGATTAATAACAAGCTCTAATATGTCACTAAACAATAAAAATCAAATATATAACCCTAACATGATACTAACATGATATTAGGAAGAGAATAGGAAGCATCGCAGGAATCATAATAAGCATATTTGATATTATAACCTTTTCCCTAAACTTAATACTAGGAATCTTGTTGTCATTCAAAACATCAAGCATCCTAACATGATACTAGGAATCATAATAAAAACCTGAACATGATTTGTATATCATAATATCAATAAATCAATTAAAGCACTTACTTGGATGCCTCGTATCTCTTTCTAATAACAAAATACACACGTTAGTAACTTCAAGGAAAATAATAAACAACAATTAAATTAAATAATTGAAATAGAGATTAGGACCAAACCCTCAAAAATTTAAACGCATTACGTCTAGGGCCAAGACAACTTTGAATAATGCTAGGTATGTCTAGTGCTAATGTATGAGGAATTGAGTTTGTAAAAGGGTTGGTTTAGAAAGAGGGAGAGAATCAAGAATTTCTTGATGAGAGTTGGTGAGAAGAAAGAATTAGAAAGAATAAGAATTGATGAGAATTGATGATTGAAAAAGGGGAGATATGACCTCTATATATAGAGAAAAAAGAGAGTCAAGGAATAAGAAATGAATCCGAATTCGAACCGAAATAAAACTCGATAGACAACAGTTTTTGCGGAGTTTTTTTTTATCATATCTTTTGATCCAGAAGTCCAAATAAGGCATATAATATGTAGTTAGAAAGCTATTGAAGTCTACCTTCCAACCTAATTAGAATCAGATTAAAATAATTTGTAGATAAAAAGATACAGCCGAAATAGTAGGACGGTGTCAGTTTTGGATAGAGTTTTGTATCTCATTCACATCTTTTTCGTTATAGTTCGGAATTAATATTATAATATATCATTGGAAAGATAATTTCAAGATCTATACAACCATATAAAATTTGGATAAATATTATGAGGCACGAAAATAAAATCTGATTGTCTTTGAATATCTTTAAATTCGAATAGAAGTAGGATTAAAGAAAAAGGAAAGTTTTTATAAAAGGAAAGTTTTTATTTAACTCAAATTGTGCAATCTTATCTTTTCAAAAAGGATAGTTAAGATCTTTTAGAAACTTATGAAATGTTCTAATTAATCCTAATTAGTTTAGGAATAGGATTAAAACTTTGGACTCTCCACATGATCATTGGGTCATATGTAAAATCCGATTTGGGCCCATTTTAGTATTTTGGCCATAACTTTCTCATTATTCATCGGAATTGGGCTTATAATATTTCGTTGGAAAGGTCTTTTCAAGCCCCATCCAACTACACTATTATTGGACCCATATCATGGACCAAACTAAACTGGAATGCACGTTTTTCAAATAGGGTAAGAAAAGAAATATATTTAAAAACAGAAAGAAGAGATATTTTAATAAAAACATCCTCATCACTAGACTTTTCATACTTTTTCTTTGTTCGATAATCAAATGACTTGAAAGGTATTCATCACTGGATTTGGTTTTGGGGAGACACAAATGGGTGTCTATAGATGGTTTGAGAAATAATAAGTTTAAAAGTTGAGAAATGAAGAAAATAGGCAAGTGAGAAGCCATTTCGGCTGAAAATTGCTTTATTATGATGATATGGACCCAAAAACTTAGAACTTAGCTTCTTTTATGTCATTTCAAGTCACAATCACTTATAAATGTATAATAATGAGATGTTTTGAGAAAGGACAAGTTTATAAATTGAGAAATGAAGAAAATAGGCAAGTGAGAAGCCATTTTGCCCAATATGGCTTTATTTTGATGAAATTGAGCCAAAAACATATAAATTTTCTTCTTTTATGTCATTTCAACTCACATTAACTTATAAATATGTAAGTATGAGATGGTTTGAGAAAGAATATGTTCATAAGTTGAGAAATGAAGAAAATAGGCATGTGAGAAGCCATTTCGGCTCTAAATAGCTTTATTTTGATGAAATAGACCCAAAAACTTATAACTCAACTTCTTTTATGTTATTTCAAGTCACAATCACTTATACATATGTAATTATAAGGTGGTTTTAGAAATAATAAGTTTATAAAATGATAAATGCAGAAAAGAGGGATGTTAGATGCCAATTTGGCTCAAAATGGCTTTATTTTGATGAAATGGACCCAAAAACTTAGAAAATAGCTTCTTTTATGTCATTTTAATTCACAATCACTTATAAATATGTAATTTTGATATGGTTTGAGAAAGAATACGTTTATAAGTTTAGAATTGAAGAAAATAGACAAGTGAGAAGCCATTTTGCCTCTAAATGGCTTTGTTTTGATGTAATAGAGCAAAAAACATAGAATTTGTATGGGAGGATATGTAGGACGGGCTTACATCTTTTACAAATCCGGATCTAAACCCGGTAGAGCTGATATATGGGCAGATATGTTTGGTAAAGCAAACATATCGGCCTGTCGGTACTGGGCACGTGGCAAGAACAGCTTGACACTTGGCATAAAAGGCTTTGCATGCTTTGTAGACACCTGTCATGGTATTTATTATAAATAGTAGGTTGGGAGTCATTAATGAGGAATTAATTACTCTCTCTCTCTTTCTCTCTCTCTCTCTCTCTCTACTTTCTCTCTCATACTTATCATCCTAAACACTTTTTGACTTTACCATCGTAGTGGTTATCCCCAGATCACCCCAGGGTTAGGTAACTTCTCTTCACTATGCAGGTTCTCAGCTTGCCGATAGGAGTATTAGGATCTCGGGCTCGTACTCTTGGGAGATCAAATCCAGACAGAAACAATTTGGCGCTAGAAGGAGGGGAGATTGATCACTTCTATCCCCTAAGAACCTCACACATAGGATAGTATCAACTATGGTCGGAAATAGCGGAACATCGGTGACAAGGAAAGTAGTAAATCAGCCGATAGAACAACCTAAGATAGAGATAGAAGATGAAACTCATACTTTGGGGGATAACCAGTTTCATATGCCGTTAACACCCCCTTGGGGTGGAGGAGAGGCAGAGGATCCTATGGCAGAATTCACGCCGGATGAGCTAGAATTGGCAGCAAGGGTGATGAATGCTATGAGTAAGAAAAGTAAGGAGGCCGAGACGGCACATGCTGAAAGGGGGAAGGCTCGGGCCAAAAGGGAAACGCCACACACTAATCAGGAAGAACAACATGACCGATTAACAAACTCACTCGGGAGACCCCGAAGTGGGTCGCCGATAAGAACGCACACTGTGTCGCGGCGAGTTGAACAATCCTCAAGTCGTACTATCAGTACAAGGACCCAACAGCAGAGAAGTTTAGATGTAGATGGGAAGACAATGCGAACTATAGTTCAGTTAAGGGCATCTCTGTTTGCACTGCATATTCTAAACCAGCCGATGGAAAAGGTAAAAATGCCGACTTGTAGGTATGACGGGAGGGGAGACCCGGGCAGGTTCATAACATCCTATGAGGGCCATATGATGTTGTATACTAACTCAGATGCAGTATGGTGTAAGGTCTTTCCGACTACCTTTATTGGGGCTGCGGCCGATTGGTTTAATAACCTTGGAGTTGGAATAGTGGATAGTTTTGAGAGACTAACCGAGATGTTTGTGGGTCAATATGTCAGCAATAGTGTGCGGCAGAGAACCTCTGGAGAATTGATGGCAATAGAATAGAGGCCAGATGAATCTTTCAGGGATTTTATTAGACGATTTAATAATGAGGCAAATACAATCCGAAAATTGCAACAAGAGATAGCTGTAATGGCTATGATGAATGGCTCGGTTGATTCTGATTTCAAGCGTTACCTTACCAGAAAAAATTTGCTGACATTCGCAGCAGCATTTAACAAAGCCCATGACTACATTAAAAGTGAAGAGTTGATGAAGACAAGTAGCAGAAATCTGGTTGTCGGAAGAGGGCAAAGTCATCACGAAGGAACATCGTCGAGAAGTGGAAGGCCGAGAGCCTCTGCCCCAGGAAGGGGGGGGGGGAACCGGCAGGATTCAAGGGCGTCAAGGCCACCAATGAGATACAGTTCCTATACTCCTTTGAATACACCGAGAGCAACAATTTATTCGGTGAATTAGAATAGAGAAGGGTGGTCAAGACCGATTCCAATGAAGGCAAGGCCAAGAGATGTGAAGAAATATTGCATGTTTCATAGAGATGTGGGTCATTACACAGAGGAATGTACGCAGCTGAAAGATAACATTGAAGAGTTGATAAGGAAGGGGCATTTATCACAATACCGGCTGAATACAGGCAGAAATCAACAATCGGCTTAACCGATTGAGAGACAGCAAATAGAGGCAAGGCCAGAAAGGGTGCAAGGAGGAGTAGTCCGAAAAGGAGATGTAGGGTTATCGCCGTTATCTACTGGAAGAGGAGTAGATGTGATAACAAGGGGGCCGATACATGGAGGAACAGTTAGTGGAGCAAAGAAGCATTTGGCTGAGCACCGTCATCTGGTGTGCGCCTTAGATGTGGACAATCGTCCTCGGCCAGCTACAATACCTGAAATAGTGTTCACCGAAGAAGATGCAAGGGGTGTAGTGTTCCCTCATGATGATCCATTAGTCTTGATAACTAAGATAAATGGGGCTGATGTCAAAAGAGTGTTGGTGGATGGTGGAAGTTCAACAAATGTGTTATTTGTGCAAGCTTTTAATGAGATGAATATCGGGAGACAATACCTGAAGCCGGTATCATACCCGGTCATTGGGTTTAATGGGTCTACAGTAAGACCAGAAGGAAGCATAGTGCTACCAGTTAAGCTAGGAGATGGGTCACAAGCAAGGGATGTGATGGCAGAATTTCTGGTGGTAAATGTTAAATCAGCCTACAACGCAATTATCGGCAAACCGATAATACACGATATGCAGGCCGTCGTGTCAACCTACCAGCTGGCGATAACTTATGTATCGAATTTGGGAGCTGTAGAAAAGGTATACGGAGGTCAGGTGATGTCAAAGTCTTGCTTTGTGACTTCCTTAAAAAACCCAGTTGGTAGTAGGCCGGTGCCATGCAATCCGGTAAGGGAAGGTGAGCCAACAGTTCAAGACTTAACAATGAGGAATTTTGATACGAGGCCAGAGGAGACCCCAAGGCCGTTACCAGGAGGAGAGACTGTTCAGGTTGAGCTACAACCAGGTGATCCGAGTAGAACAGTAAGAGTTGGGGCCGATATGGACGTAGATACAAGATGCCACCTGATAAGCTTGTTGCGTGAATGCAGATGTTTTCGCATTTTTGGCAAGTGAAATGCCGGGAATACATCCAGAAGTGATAGAGCACAAGTTGAATGTGGATAGAAAATTTAGGCCGATAAGGCAAAAGAAGCGCAACTTTTCAACAGAAAAGATAGAGGCAATTCAGGCCGAGGTAAACAAGCTCTTAGTGGCAGGGTTCATTGAGCCTTGCACATATCTGGAAATGATGGCGAATGTAGTGATGGTGAGAAAGCCAACAGGGAAGTGGCGAATGTGTGTAGATTTTACAGATTTGAATAAGGCCTGCCCTAAGGATTGCTACCCATTGCCTCGGATCGATAGGCTAGTAGACTCAACCTCTGGTCATGCTATGCTGAGTTTCTTAGATTTGTTCTCGGGTTATCATCAGGTCAGCCTGCACAAGGTCGACAGGGCCAAAACAACTTTTATAACAGATGCTGGTGTATATTGTTACAAGGCAATGTCGTTTGGGCTGAAGAATGCAGGAGCGACGTATCAAAAGTTGGTGGATAAGATATTTGAGAAGGAGAAGGGCCGAAATGTTGAGGTGTACGTGGATGATACGATAGTGAAAAGTGAGGAGAAAAAATATCATATAGCAGATTTGACGGAAACATTTGAGACGCTGCGAAAATACCAGATGAAGTTGAACCCAGAGAAGTGTGTGTTTGGGGTCAGATCGGGAAAGTTCCTGGGCTTTATGGTTAGTGAACGAGGAATAGACGCAAATCTATATAAGGTGAATGAAGTACTTCAGATGAAATAGCCGAAAACCATTCGTGATATACAAAGGTTGACTGGCAGAATGGCGGGGTTAACTAGATTCATCAGTAAATCGGCTGACAAAGCACTTCCGTTCTTCATGGTGTTGTGGAAGAATAATACATTTGAGTGGGGAAAAGAACAGGGTGATGCACTAGAAGTGGTAAGAAATCATCTTTGATCTCTTCCGACAGTAGCTAGGCCTGAGAAGGGAGAATTGCCGCAGCTATACATCTCGGCATCACCAAAAACAGTGGCAGTTGTTCTACTGGTGGAGAGGAAGAAGCAACAGATGCCAATATAATTTGTTAGCCATGTGTTGAATGCAGCTGAACGTAGATATCCAGTAATAGAAAAAATGGCACTAGCGGTGGTGATAGCAGCCAGAAAGTTAAGGCCTTATTTTGATGCTCTTCCGATAGATGTATTAACAAATCATCCTTTAGAAAAGTCGTTGCATAAAATGGATACTTCAGGCAGGTTGCTAGCGTGGGAAGTAGAGTTGTCGGAGTATGAAATAAGTTACAGGCCTAGAACGTCAATCAAAGCCCAGGCATTGTCGGATTTTATTGTTGAAACGACATACACTGATGAAGAAGAGGAGTTGGGAACACGGCAGGTATCAGTTGATGGTTCGGCCACATAAACGGGGGCAGGGGCCGGAATTGTGATAACAGCGCCAGATGGGAAGATGTTTGAATATGCCATAAAATTTAAATTCAAAGCTACAAACAATGAGGCCAAGAATGAAGCTGCAATAGCTGGGATGCAGTTGTCAATAGCAGTAGAGGCAAAGCGGTTAGTTTTAATAACTGATTCCCAGTTAGTAGCAAGCTAGTATAGTGGGGAATATGAGACAAGAGAGCCATCTATGGTGAGATACCTGGAGAAGGTGAGGCAGTTAGCGGCGCAGTTGCAATATTTTAAAATTAAGTTGGTACCGAGAGTGAAAAATGCTTAGGCAGACGCCTTGGCAAGGTTGGCAAGCTCGAGCTTTAATGACCTGGAGAGAACAGTCATGGTAGAAGTCTTAAAGCAAAAGAGCATAGACGAAGTGACAGAAGAAGTGTTGTGTATTGATAACGGCTCTCAATGGTATGATAAAATATTGGCATACCTTCTTCATGGGGCGCTGCCAATAGATAAGGGAGAACCAAAAAAGCTGCGAAAGGAAAGTGTTTGGTTTGTCATGCACCAGGGTCAGTTGTACAAAAGGGGGTTTTCATTGCCGTTACAGAGATGCATAATGGACTTTGAATCTGCAAGGTTGATCAAAGAATTACATGAGGGCAGTTGTGGTAACCATCTCGGTGCAAGAGCTCTGTCCAGGGAAGAAATGAGAAGGGGGTATTACTGGCCGACAATGAATGCAGATGCTATAGCATATGTGAAAAAGTGTCAAAAGTGCTAAAAATTCGCCCCGGCTATCAACCTACCTCCAAATGATCTAACGCCGATATTAAATCCGATCCCTTTTGCACAATGGGGGATGGATATAGTTGGACCGTTTCCATCAGCCACGGGTGGAAGGAAACTTTTGTTAGTGGGGATAGATTACTTTACGAAATGGATTGAGGCAGAACCGGTTGCAAAGATAACGGCATCGGAGGTGAAGAAGTTCATATGGAAAAATATTTTCACGATATTTGGGCTGCCAATGGCAATGGTTTTTGATCATGGAACCCAGTTTGATTGTAAGTCGGTCAAAGATCTTTTGACGATGTACAAAGTAAAGTTTTCTTATGCAGCGGTATGCCATCCGCAGTCTAACGGTCAGGCAGAAGCAGCAAATAAGCAAATCGTAATGGCAATTAAAAAGAAAATTGAAGATGCAAAGGGTTTATGGGCAGATTTAATACCGGAAATACTATGGGCAAACAGGACCACGATAAGAGAAGCAACAGGTGAATCACCTTATGCAGAAGTAGGATTGCCGACATTTAGAGTCCAACACTATTGTGAAGATCAGAATGATTTGTTGTTGCGTGAACAGTTGGATTTTTTACCAGAAGTAAGAGAGAAAGCGGCAGTTAAATCAGCCGCATTCAAGAATGTCAAGGGCATATAATAAGAGGGTATCTTATCGGCCATTGAATAAAGGTGATCTGGTTCTACGGAGAACAGCGGCAACAGGAAAGGGAAACGAAGATGGAAAGCTGACAGCAAGTTGGGAAGGACCTTATCGGATTAGAGATGTAGTCATCCAGGGATCATTTTATCTTGAGACTATTGATGGAGCACCGCTAAAAAATGTGTGGAACTCAGCGGTGCTAAAGAAATACTATGTATAGAAATGTATAAACCTTTTCAATGATATGAAGCTGATATTAATAGAAGATGTCAGTGATGAATGAAAAATATTCAAATAACATGTGTCAAAAATAGGCATCCTCCATTTAACAATACATCGTTAAATGGGACGGACAGCTCAAAACCGCTTCCGTGAAGTTAATGAACCTACAACCTGATCATTTGTATACATTAAATCACGAGGTTGCAGGTTCAAAATATAATACCGGCAAAATCAATTCGAGTATACGCCAGTGTGAGGCGTAGCTCAGAAAGTGATCGCCGAGAGGGTACCTAACTGGCTGAAAAATCATAACAGTAGGTGACCGATGTTGTACTCTGAACCAGGAACGCGTATCATTTCCTAGTATACATAATTCCTTAAGGAAATATGCATACTAGGGGGAGTAAAGAGTTAGATATCGTATACTAATGGTCTTTAAATGGTAATTGATTGTACTACTACAATGTTGATATTACTATGTTGGATGTTGTTAGAAGTTGTTAAATGGTTGTTATACGCACAAGGGGGCAAGCGCGAGATAGTAAGAAATGAGATAGGATAAAAGCATGATAAATAGAAAACTGTAAAAATTTACTCTTTAAAAAAAATAATAAAAAAAAAATAAATAAGTAAGACGTGAATAATTAACATAGCATAATAGTTAAAGGTGCAAATGAGTATTCATAATAGTTAAAGATGACAATCGACAGGCATCACCACAAAAAGGGTATATGCCGATGAAACAGAATTGTCAAAAACAGTTCTGAACAAAAGTAGAAATTTACATATGTCGGGCTATAGCTGATAAGGCCCAATTATGCTAAAACCACAGGAAGATGTCGGTGATAACTGCCCGCCCCTTCAAGCTTGTGTGTCTTCGGGAGTTTGGGAGTTTAGTATGCTAGGATCTTTGATGCCGTCGTCACCGCTGGGCTCCAGATTGAAAAGGTCTTCGTCCGAAAACTGTTGCTCTTCAAAGCCTGAAGGGATCTTGAAAGCTTCCTCATTAAAAGCCTTTTCAACTTTAGCCCAATCTTCTTTCTTCCAACCAGCGGCTTGAACAATACACCTTTGCGCTGCAATCCATCTACCGTTAAAACGATCTTGAAGCCGACTGCAGAATTCCCGAGAAGCCAGGTAACGGCTAACTGCTCTCTGTCGGACTGCAGGTTTGTCGGTCTCCAACCCTCGAACTTTGTTTTCAAGGTTGCTAATGCAAGCCTTAGCATCATTGAGATCCTTCTCAAGGGTAGGGAGGCGTTCGATGGCCTGATTTTTCTCAGCAATTTCAGTCTTAAGCTGTTGAATCTCTAGCTCAAAACTTTCGGCTTTATTAGCTTTGGTCCTAAGAGCAGTCATCTCAAGGTCATCTTTTCCTTAATTTCCTTCAGCTTCTTTAAGGCCTTGTCAGCATTATCTAAGGCTGTTTTCAGTGCATCCTGACTGGTAGAGGATTGATGATGTTTTTCTTGATAATATCGGTACATCTCTAAGAGCTCAGTACCAGACATAACAGCCTAAATAAGGGCAAGATAGGTGCAATTTAGGATTATATTAATAAGCGTGTAATAAGAAATAAAATTATACGAAAGGCACAAATGAAAATGATGAGTATATATAAACAAAAGTAACAAACGCAATGATTTCGGTACATACCTTCATCATATTATGCATATGTAGAGCGGCAAGAGGACCAATAGCACTAGCAAGCCTATCCATCGGAAGGGTAAGGTTACTCAGCAGCCGATATCCAATAGTCCCACCCTGCATTGGGTCATCTATGATCATTGATTCATTCCGGCATGCATCAATAGTGGGCTGCCATTGGTCTCTAGAATGACCAGAAGGGGTAGTAAACCCTTTAAGAACCTCTTCAGGAAATCTCCCGTAAGGGCGTTCAATCTATTGCCTGTCTCGATAAACGAGACCTGGAACGCTGGTATCGGAACTACCAGCGGCAGTAGGATTAGTTTGAGTTATAAGTTGACCAGAAGTGGGGGGTTGAGCAGGAGGAGTTTCGGGTGTGTTGGTAAGATACTTTGACGGAGGGTATAGTACTTTGAACCACCGTTTTGTCCTGAATCTTTGGGGAAGGGGGCAATTCCTTGTCCTTGGCCTGGTTTGCCTTGGCAATAGCACCATCAGATCGCCTAGGGCTGTTAACTCTAACACCGCCACCACGTCGATTTGCAAGAGAGGATAACTTTCTTCTCTTTGCGCAGTCATCAGCCATCTTTTCAGCCCTTCTTTTAGCACTGACGGTAGGAGCGGGGCTACAATAAGTAGCAAGGGTGTCGTAAGAAGGTTTGGAGGCTTTTGGGCAGCGTCTGATAACTCTGTTGCCGTCAGCAGACAACCCGAGCTGTTTGTTATCCAACTTGTCGGTACCTAAAATATTGATAAATAAAAATGTTAAACTAGATAAAAGAAGAATACGACGATAATTCCGAAATAAAAAGAGAGTGAAAATGCAAAGGTATTAGATATAAATAAATTAATATCATGGAGGTCAGTCCAGCAGAGACCGACGCGTGATAGAGGTGCGTTGCCGAGAATATAACTCACATTCGACACCCACACCTTAGGGGTTAGACGGACTTTACCGTCACCGTTATCAGATTCTAAAGTATCAAAATGGTTAACCGCCCTGCGTTCATGTTTACCGAGATCTCTCTCGGGAATAGTATCAACCCGTGGGTGAGGACGAAAAA